ATCGCTCTGTCTCAAGCAAGCAAGGACCCCGCTCTCCAAGCGATCAGGATGACCGGAAGACGAAATCGTTTCTCAGTGACCATCAATGTCGCTTCGTAGGAGGTAATTGACATCTGCTAGAGAGTCCCCTACAGCCAGGTGGATCTGATCCTGCCGATTTACCGCAGCCTTTTCCTTGACCGATTATCGAATGCACTCGAATTGGCTGGAATCGAGACCATTGCATCGTGATCAACTTGTGACAGCCTTTGATCAGAGTACTTTAGCAGCTGAATGCCAGTAAACAAAATGAGCATGCGCCAGCAATGAATGTTCCACGAGATGGTTGACCTGAAGCTTCTCGTAAGAACAAAAGGCGGCAGAGGTATTCATCATTTGTGGAGCGTATAATTGTTATCGTGCTCGATCCGACTTGTTCAAGTCCCTGCCAGATTGCAATCATGTTCAATTTTGCTCTCACTCGCTCATTGCTGTTAAAGAAGAAGTTCGATTTGATTCTTTGACGTTCTTTACATTACCGGATTTGAGACTTTCATTGGAGATAGATCCCTGCACCTCGTGCTCTATCAGCACCAGATCACTGGAGTCCAATGACCTCTCGGGGAAGGTATGGTTCGTCAATGTACTTGAGTTCCTCTTCTGTAAGTTTGACATGTACCCCAGCTAAGGAGCAAGGTCAGACCCAGTTCACTGACTCGTTCTGTTAGATAAGACTTACCAGCCAAATCCTCCAAGTTTGCAATTTTCGTAGCCCCAACGATGGGGGCGGAGATGAAGTCCTTGGATAATTGCCAAGCGAGAGCTACCTGAGCCATTGAGACTCCTCGCTTTTCTGAAATCTCCTTAACTCTGTGGTTGATTTCAATGAGGAATGGGTACTTCTCAGAATCGACGACCTCGTTTAGAAATCTAATTGCAGATGCTCGTAAATCTCAGCTACGGGGTATGCAGTGAAATGTACATACCCATCCGTTTTGTTTCTGACGGTATTGCTGTCAATGCTCCTAGTTAAGAATCCGCGAGCAAGCGGAGACCACGGAATGCAGCCAACTCCCATGTCTTTGAGTAAAGGCATGATCTCTCGCTCTTCCTCCCGGTATATGGCATTATGGAAGTTCTGCATGCTGATGAATGGGGTAAGTCCGTGAGTTAATGCGTAATTTTGCATCTTATGAACTAGAACAGATGACTAATTAGACTGGACCCCACATGCGAACCAGATACTCACATTGCCAGGCATAACAAGACGACATTCCGATGTATCGCACATAGCCTGCCTTCACAACGTCATGCAACGCCTGCATAGTCTCCTCAATAGGGGTGTTAGGGTCAAATCGATGACCTGGAGGCCATATCTAACATAAGCCTACTACTGACAAGGAGATGATCTTGTACCCACATTGAAGTAGATCGATATAATCGAGTTGTAATCTTTCGAGCGAGCGTTTTACAGAATCGAAAATGTGCTGATAGTTCATAAGCACGGACTTGCTTTGGTAATGTCAATCATTTCACGAACCTTTCTGCTCAATCCATGTTGGTTTATGTAACGCTTTTCTTGGATCTCTTGGGGAGCGTAATTCCAACCTACTTCCTCAGTTTGACGCCCAACGACGTAGAATACCTGTATAAAGAAAGACTCAATTTCCGGTGCTTTAAGTCCTTCCGTCAACAACTTACCTTGGTCATCACCACAATCTCATCTCGGGGTAGATTGTACCTCTTGATGGCTCTACCAAGAATGATCTCCGAAGCCTAGATTCGCATCGAGATGCCCAGCACAAAATGTCAGCTAATGCAGATGCCAGAGCAATTCTAATTGGATGGCATACTCCACTGGAATAGACATTTGCGGTATCAAACGCGTTAATTCCAAGGTCGTATGCTTTCTTGATATGCTCCATGCTTTCGTCCTCAGGAAGCACCCAGCTTTGCCATGCAGGATCTCCATATGACATACAACCACTGGACATAGCTCGAAAGTCCATCATTACCGCGCTTGCATTGATAGTCACAACTCACAGGATAATGCGAGACACCTTCAGCCCAGAGTTACCCAAGCGGACGTAGGGCATATTTACGGTGGGTCGGGACATACTAATGGAATTTGGGTGTTGGGGAGTAGTGAACCATCTCTGATGCCTGTCGTCATTTATAGTTCATATCCCTTGAGGAGGAGGACTTCACTCACTCCACATTCATATCGTATGAAATGTGAAGCCATGGGGTACGTTCATAAGAGTGGAGGCAAATGAAGTGGAGGTGGAGGTGGAGGTGAAGGTGGAGGTTTTAGTATCAAGCCGTAAAGGTAAAGACTAGAGAAGGGGATGATGCCTGCAAAGTGAACGAGTATTGGAGCAAGCGTGAGGGTCATCCACGCATAACCGCGAGATCGAGTACCGCTTTAGTGCAAGAACCGGCGTTCTTACTGAAGCTTATTGACACGTTGACACCCTAATCTCAGTCTCCTTTATCGCTCTAAAAGGGGTACAAGACATGGGTGGTAGACCAAGGAGAAAAGATGAGGTCGAACAAACATAGACAAATATATTGGCCCGGTGTAGCCCGGTCCTTAGCAGGTAGGATCAAGACGTCCCTGCAACATATTGTGGTATATTGTGAATCGTCACGACCTAAAGGTTATTCCGAATTTTCCTATGTTTTCCTGGTCTTTCTCGGTATAAATGGAGTGGTCAATGTGCGTAATGATGTCTTGCCACAAGATCACTGGCATTACATGACGAAAATAGCTGCCATCCGGATGGGTTCGAACCATCTGCGCCAGATTAAAGTTCTGGTGTGTTAACCACATACACCACGGATGACCGGAAGACAAAAGCCTTCTGAAGCGACAATCATTGCTCGCTTTATACAA